TGGGGGTGTTTGTGGGGTTATTGGGGGTTTTGGACTCCCAGATTTTATTTATTTATTTATTTATTTTGTTGGGGTGCCGAAGACCCCTGACCGCTAGGTGTCGACCAGTCAAGAGGCACCTACCGTCGGGGTATGCAACACTGCTATTTACTGATGTTCGAAAAGGAGGGGGGGTGTTCTTACTCTCCCCCCGTTTGGAAGGTCAGGCAAGTCTTCTGGAAACCGGGTCCGGCATCCCACGCAGATGTCCTCTGCATCTCTCTGTTTGGCCGCTCTTACTACAGATATCTCTGTTTCATGCCCTGTAGACAGGATACCCTAGTCAGGTCGAATCGGCCCCATTTGTGTTTCCTGTTGACGAGCCCAGCTGTCCTCCGTGTGCTCCGCCGTTCAGACCCAGGAAAAGGTTGCCGTCTCAGAAGCGCCCGGCGGTAGGGCGCACCCCCACCTTGTGCCAAGTATCTGCAGGTTTGCAAGTGCAGGCGAGGCAGCCCAAACGAGCCAACGACCCCGGGGGGTCAACTCCCCTGGCTGTGTGGTCACGATTGATTTCAGCCAAACAGCTGACCGTGGGCGGTTGTCTTTGCCCGCTGGAGGCTGCGTGCTGCTCCCCCTTCCTTGTCCCCTACTGTTTGCCCGTCCCGTGCTTCTAACCGAAGTGCTGCAGTGAAGGCTTCCATTTCTGACTAGACCAGGGCTGGTCCCCGGATGGACCGGGGGCCCCTCCCCCGACCGGGGTCCTCCCGGTTGGACCAGCCGGTGGACTGGGCCGGTTCCCTCCAGGTCGACCCCAGCGCATTTTTGCTGGGGGTTGAATTTTTTTTTGGGGCGGCGAGGCGGTGTGGGAGGCCTTTTGGAGGCAGGCCCTGCCCCGCAATTCCAAAACCGGGTCCCGTAGGCCTGTTTCCTGTGAGTCCAAAAAACGGCCGATCTTGGCTGCCGATCATCACAGATCAGCGGCAAAGATCGGCCGCTTTTTTGAACCCGTTTGGGGGGGAACCGCGCAGTGGTGCAAACGCGCGGCGGGGCAAAATGCATCGCGCGTCCAACCCCTGTTCACCCCTTGCAGAGGACGATGCCCCTCCGCCCGATGCGCTTTCCCCCGCCATCGCCACGGCCTTTAACCTGCGGCAGCCAGCTTCGCCATCAAGCACCCCGCCAGCCATCAACCGCCAGCCAGCCTCACCATCAAGCCCCCTGCAAACAAGCCACGCCAGCACCCCCTGTGAAGAAGGTTTGTGCCCCCCTGTCCTTCTTCTTCTTCGTCGTCGTCTTCTTCTTCTTTCTACTTCTTCTTCTTCGTCGTTCAACTTCTTTGATGTCTGATCATCTTCGTGTCCTTCTTCTTCTTCTCCCTCTCATCGTCTTCGTCTCTTCTTCGACTCCTGGTCTGCTTCTCTTCTCCTCCTCCTCCTCTTCTTCTACTTCTTCTACTTCTTTCACTCTTCTGTTCCCCCCCCCTCCTCTGCTTCGTCCCCTCCCTCCTCTCTTCTTCCTCCCCTCGTCCTCTTCGTCTTCTTTGTCCTCTCCCCTCCTTTTCTTCACCTTCTTCGTCCTCTCCTCCTCCTTTGCTTCACCTTCTTCGTCTTCTTCCAGATCTTCTGTTCCCTCCCACGACGACCCCGCTGGTCGTCCATCATCCTCACCCCCCCCCCCAGCGATCTTCTCTTATTTTCTTCTTCTTCTCCTTCCTTACTTCTTCTCCTCCTTTTGTTCTTTCTCTTCCGTTGTTTTCTTTCAAGTTCTTCTTTTCTTTCTCTTCTTCTTCTTGTGCTTTTTCCACTTTCTTCTTCTTCGCCTTCTCCTTCTCCTTCTCCTCCTACTATTCTTCTTCTTCCTCCGCTTCTCATCCTCTCTGTTAGCCATAGTCGTTTTTTTTTGTTTTTTTTTTCCCACTCCCTCCTCCTCCTCCTCCTCCTCCTCTTCTTCTTCTTCTTCATCTTCTTCTTCTTCCTCTTCTTCTTCTTCTTCTTCTTCTTCTTCTTCTTCCTCTTCTTCTTCTTCTTCTTCTTCTTCACCTTCTTCTCCTTCTCCTTTTCCTTCCTCCTCCTCCTCCTCCTCCTCCTCGTCTGTTAGCCATAGCCTTGTGGACCTGCAAACCCTGAACGCTTCTCCTTTTCCTTCCTCCTCCTCCTCCTCCTCCTCCTCCTCCTCCTCGTCTGGCAACAAACCCCTTACCACTCTCGACCTCGGCTCCCCNCCCCCCCCCCCCCGCCCCTGGCACACCCCTAAAAAAATCTCCAACAGTCCAAGTTTTATTGCGGAATCAAACAGATCTCAGCAAGTGCAGTCCGATCCAGTTAAAAAAAGAAAAGAAAAAAAAAAAGAAAAAAAAAAAGAAAAGAAAAAAATGGCCATTTTTTTGTACCATCCGGTTTGCCGGTTGACCCCCCCTGGGCCGGTCCGGCCCTGGTTGGACCAGGCAAGCTCGACCGGCCGGTTGCCGGCCCAGCCGTGGACTAGACAGAAATCCATTGCCTTAGACCAAGGCCAAGTTGAGGCCATTTGACTCGGGCTGGCTGTGGAGCGACTGCTCTTCCCTCACTCCACCCTCCTCGCCCTGCTCTTTGCGGGCCAAGTTGAAACGTGATCTTCGGCCTTCTAGTCTTCCACTACCACCCATACCCAGCATGTTTATTTGTCGTTGCATTGCCCTTTTCACTCTGCCTCTCATGTACAAGGCTGGCCACGTTGATTGTGGTTTAGCACCAGCTGCGCAGATCCCTGTGTGCCTTAAACCACCAGTACATCCGAGCCTCTTTTTGCCAAAGGCAGATCCCCCCTGCGTACCAAGCTTTGCTGAAACCCCAGCATGTTTTTTTTTCTGTTCTTTGGGCTGGCGCCGCCAGCCATTTTGGTTCGGTAGCACTGTTCATCCGAGCTTTTTGGATGAATCATTTTCGATTCTCAAGTTTGCCTGGGCGCTGTACTGGCTGTTTAACGGCCCGCTTGCACACTATGAAAGGTTGCAGAGGAAAGGGGGAGGTATACTCGGCTTATATTTTCTTTGTTCTCCTATGCTGCTCATTCATGTGCATTTACTAGTCGTAAACAAGAGGGAGGAGCAAGGAAATGCGTCTTTGCCTGAATCAAATAGAACCTGTTATGAAAACTGGGTAGAATGACAACAGCAAGTTCAAAGAAAGCAGGTATTCTTTTGAGTCATCCGATGAAACTCATCATTGAATGGTTCAGTCACAAAATCTCGAAAAGAAAAAAGAAAGCAAGATTTTTTGTGGATCATCAAAACTGCACCTGACAAATGCATTAAAACAAAAAAAAGAGAAAACATACATGAAGCAGAGCCTCACGGGCATATAAAAACCGACTCTCTCTGGGAAAAACAGAAAGAGTGCGAAGGAGGGCGTAATAAGAGTAGTGTTTTTCAACGTTTTCTTTCTTTCTTTTTTTCCAACAACGAAACCCTTTTATATTCTCGTCACCTCGTAGGTACCAGTCCGGTTATTCATCCCTGGTGATAAGCATAGTCACAAGTAAAGGCTGCAAAGGAAAAAGGAGCAGAACAGGGTTGGAACTCAACCGGGGACCGCAGGACTACCAAAATTCCCAGTCATCCCTATCTTTTTTTCCTACCTATCATGCAAGCTACTATGCAGCCTGAATGAAAAAGCCAATAAGCTATTACGTCATAACGAGAAGAACAAGGATGAGCATACCACTTTCCCTACAAATATGCGTACAACACCATGGAATACAACAAATAACAGAGACAATACCACGAAACAGAGCAAATCTACAATAGGAGGATGCTATGAACAAGGGGGAGTGACGCAAATACAAAAATAGACCAATACGTGGTTCTACGCAAATGAGCATCACTTGCTTCTCAGCAGTTAATGTACCCTTCACTCTCTGTCTAATCTACGAACTTAGCTATACAGCTTACCAGACCATAAGAAGTCCCTGTCCATGGTCAAAAGACTCAAAACTTTGGGAAAAACGAGCGTTGATTCACTGTGGAAGGCAATGCAAAACCATTTCCTACCTGCTTAGTAGACTTGAAGGACTTCGAAAGCTGCTGCAAAGAACGGACAAGTTGCAAGGATGTCCCCATTCAACAGCGATTCTCCATAGGTGTAAGAGCTGCACCCAAGGGGACCACCAGGATCTACCCACAATACGGCTGGACGGACGTCCACCCCATCTCCAGATGGCCTCAAATAGGCGTGATCTCTGGCAGTCATTCAAAATGTATGCGAAAGGTGCAGCGGCCACCGAACCCCAAACAAAGGACACGTATATTCTGGCAGTCTGTAGTGAACACTGGCAGGAGCACATAATTGAGACTCAAGGTCCATTGAATGTCTGTCGTGCTCTCGAACAGACAAACAGTTCTGTCCCCGCATTCTCTGACTTCTGAAAACAACTCCCATGACTTGTCCGCTGGTTCATAAGCCAGATTCTTCAAAACTGAAAGGGGTGCCCTTCCCTGCCTAATTTATAGAGGTACCCCGCCTCGCCTAAATTTCATTTGTAAAAGGTGCTCTTCACTGCCTGACTGGCTCTGATTGCTCGCTCCGAGTCAATCGTTACGAGGTCTATGAGGGCGCTCACATTCATGTGCTGCCCGCAAAAGAACACTCCCATACTGTCCGCCTCTTCTTTGTCTCTGCATGCAACAAGGAAAGCTTCACCTGACAGATGCTGCTGCTGGCATCACGTACACAAGTCAACCATCCACCGCAACTCTGACCACTCTCTCTCTTTCGCGATTAATTTGTCTGCCTGCTAGTGGCCAAATCACAAACCAGAACCTCTACTTTCCATTGTCGAGATCGTATATGATCTATTTTGGCCGCCAACCAAATAGAATACAACAACAATGTCAAACCCCCCACTTCTGTCTCCAGGACTGAAAATTCCAGTCATAATGCCACGTTGCTTGCTGCCATTTCAAACAGATGAACAAGAATTGAAACTGCCTCCACAGCTCTGTGGATTTGCGCAACGTATTCTCACAACCTTTCTACTAGTTTGGTACAGCAGTTCATTAGTTGTTTACAGCATGAGCCTTGAGGGATGAAAAATCCTCCTCCCAAAAAGCATTCTCAGGTCCCATGTGCTCTGTAAATCCATCACTGGTGTGCTCTTCTCGATGCAGAAAGAGCCCCAAAAGAGTAAATTCATACATTATGAACACAACATCCAACCAAACCAGCGCGACATGGCGTCTCACCTGTTCAAAACTGCATTGGAACAGTTATGGTAGAGTAGAACAAGATGTCGCCCCCCCTCAGGGTCGAGTATAACGATACACCGCCCGCAAGGGCTGTTATTGGGCTCCCAAGCATGCAGCAGGCCATACCAGGCCAGCACCAGCGGAATGCATTTGTCATCTCATCGCAACCAGATGCGGATCCGTCCATCTTATCCCACGATCAATGAACTTTCTTTCTGACGAGGATCGTGCAGTTGAACATCAAAGACATACGCAGAACACTGCCCAATATGGCACACACCCCTGCAGATTGCCAAAGTCCGCAAAAAAGCGCTCATACCAACATGGAAATTGATGAAATGCATTATAAATGATGTCCAGTGTTTGCACCTCTCCTGACTGTCCTTCCCAGATACACCCCTGGTACAACTCAACACCGTATAGCCTCGCCCCAGACACAGGCTCTGTAAGCATTCTGCAAGATACCCATGGCTAACGATGTCTTGTCCAGCGCTAGCTGCTACTGCAGAGACCGCCGACGCTCCTCTGACGACCTCTGAGCCAGCCAAGCCATGAGTGGTTTACAAGTCATGGACTCGAAAGCCATACGGGGAAAACCGGGTTTCTCTGCCTCATCAACCTTTTGCCTTCATCAGGTCATCAACCAATGCTCGGTAGACATGACTTTCCACACACTTCGCACAAACTTTATCCATCACTGCCATCTCAAAAGACTCTGGCTTAATGCCACTGCCTAGACAAGCAGGTACCAGAACGCCATGACGACATCTGGATTGGGCCGTCTCCCCAATACTCTGAATGCTAGAATACCCCCATTCTTCCAGAAGAGAGTGAGTGGCTGCACGTGCGGCTGCCTTGAACTTTTCCTTATCTGAAACATCCAGGTACCATGACAATAACCCTCATGTCAACTTCAGGCCTTACAACTAAAATAAGCCATTCAGGAGAAACCTGCTCTACAAAACGTAGCAAAAGGGAGTGCTAACAACATGACCGGAATCACGAACAGGACACCCAAAAACCATTGGTACACACATGCCGTACACGCAAAATGTAATCTCTCTCTCTCTCTCTCTCTCTCTCTCTCTCTCGCACTCACACACACACACACACACACACACACACACACACACACACACACACACACACATACACAGAGTAATGTAGATCCAAAAGATTGACCATGAACACAGCAGAAATGTCAGTTCAAGTGAACAGGTTTGAGAATCCAAGTAACAGAGGTATGGAGATTACAGGAGAGCAAGAGAGAGAAAGTGAGAGAGACAGATTTCAAAAGTGAAAGAGTGCAGGAGTGCAAGAGTGAGAGATTGAGAAAGTACGAGACGGGGAGAGAGTGACAGAGTAAGAGAGAGAGAGCGAGAGAGCAGCCTGAGCAGGTAAAAATGAGTAGGAAAAACAGAGCAAGAAGACAAAAGTAAACAAGAAGCTCAACAGGGCACGAATGACAGAGTGAGAAAGTGGACAAGATGGTGAGAGGGAAGGAGAATGCCTACCAATCTTCTTATCATCATACAATGGCCGGAGTTCTTTCTTCACCAGCTTCGCAGCCAACTCCCCTGCAATTGGCCTTTGAGATGACCATTCTTTTGTTTTTTCCTTCTGCAGCTTCCTAGCTTCTTTCTTTCTCCTGTCCTTTTCCTGATGTCCCTCTTTCTCCCTTACTTCTTCCCCGGTGTCTTGTTTCTCCCCAACAACCTCAGCTTTGATTGCCTGCCTGTCTCGCAGGGTTATGTCACCCTCTCTGTTGGCCAGCTTCTGCTCCAGGGCTGAGGCACCGACAGCTTGAGCAGGACCTACTCCCTGAACAGTGTAGCCAGGACTGAGCTTGCCCATACCAGGAAATGAGCCTCCTCCGGCAACAGCACCCCCTGAAGATAGATCATCATTGCGCTCACAATTTCCCACCCTCGGCAACATTTCAGGCGGATGTGACACTGCGACTCCAGGCATCATTCCCCTTGACATTCTTTCCACTTCCCTCAGCCCATTTCCTACTGGAGGAAATGGAGGCCAAGAGGATGGTGCAGGCAACACCATTCCTCCGTTCTCTCTTCCCATAAGAGGCCAAGAGGATGGTGCAGGCAACACCATTCCTCCGTTCTCTCTTCCCATAAGACTATCTTTTGCTCTAGGCAACTGTTCATCCCAAACCATGTTCCCTGTTGCAAAAGACCTTCCAGATGTCAGCGAGGTCTGTGCTTGTGACATATTCTGGGTCCCAAATCCCCATCCCTGATCACTGTGAACGTCGATCCCCAAACTTCGTCCATGGTGATGCCTCTGTGTCTCCAAGCCCGTCAAATTACGCTGCTCTGAGCACCACATTCCTCCAGCTTGCCAAGGAGGTGTCTGGGTATGATGGGCTCCCATCTGCGGAGCATTCCCAGCTAGAAGAGAGCCACCACCACCACCACCACCCTGCAGATGCATGGTTTGTTCTGCACAACCCACAGCTTGGTTGTCTCTCCACTGCCATCCTGCACAATCCACAGCTTGGTTGTCCCTCCATTCTCCTCTCGCGCAATCCACAGCTTGGTTGTTCCGCCATTCCCACCTTGCACAATCCTCAGTTTGATTGCCCCTCCATTCTGGCAGCTCCTTATTAACTGGGTGTGGTGGCAAAGAGACATGTTCATCAGAATGTCTTTCGTAAGAGCCGCTGTAGGAGGTTGGCTGCTGCCATTCCCATTCACGACCTGGCCATCTAGAATTGGCAGGCCATCCACCCGCAGCAGATGATGGCGCACTTTGGGCCCATGTCTGTTCATATGCAGAACTTTGGTAAATTTCTTGTTGATGTTGACAAGGGTTGATTCCGCGGTGACCATCAGCCCAACTATCATTAAGCGGACCCATCCAATTGGTATTTTCATGCTCACCGATCGACATATTAGCCCAAGCAGAAGTTGCATCTGTCATCATCGCTTCACCTCCATTGACACAAGTTTCAAGCCTTCGACTCTCACCGACCCACCCACCCCTATCACTCCCTAGTCGAACTTCCTTGAGCTCTGCCATCATGCAACTCATATTCTCATAGGAACTGGGTCTTCTTTCCCTTCCCTCATGGTGATCGAACTCTCGTAAGTTGTCCACTTGTCCTAGACTGTTATGTACAGAATCCTGTCCATGTACCTTGGATGGCACTACTAACGGCCAGCAAATCCCAGAGGAATCCTCCTGTCCGCGATCTGACCATGTCTGGTAAGAAAGTACCGACGGATCCTCCTTTTTAAGGGTGTTATATGGACGCGCCCTACCAGCAGAGCCAGAGCGAGCAGTTGAGATGTCCTCCGTTCTCACCGTCGCCTCTGGCTGCCCCCCCGAAGTTCTCCCATCCAATTGTGGAGTGAGTCTCCCTTTGATGTCTGCATCGCCCCGGGCTCCTTTTGCCCTCTTGGCCATCTTTCCTGCACCCGCCGCCATTCCAGCTTCTTCTCCGTCTCCCTGTCCTCCTTGTCGCCCTGCATTTCCTCGATCAGTAGTCCTGGCACATCTGCTGCCGCCAGCAGAGACTGCTTCCTGTCTCTCCGCTGCAAATCCAGGCCGGAAATCCCCATGACAGGAGCTGGTTGACGACCGTTTAGGGGGCTCACTATCCGGCAATGCAGCATCAGAAACACTGTGAGAACTCATGGGTTCTTCCAAAATTTTCTTCAGAGCACCGTCGAGGGGCAGCCCATGCTTTGCTGGCCGTGACGAGCTTGTTGGTTGACCAGCAACAGAACCCTCCGCCTGGTTGGCTTCTGCTACTAAGGGTGGTCTGCAAATGACAACGTTGCTGCTAATGCCAACTTGTGCTGCTGCTCCAGCAGACCCTTCATTTGGCACAACAGTACATGGTAACCCCGGTTCAGCAACCTCCCCACTGCTTCCACCATCCTGCACTGCAGATGGAGTGGCAGCACCCTCAACCACTAGATCACTCGTACGTGCAATCCCTTGTCCTCCTTCCACGCCTTTCACTCCTGTCGTTCGCACAACTAGTCCACACTCTCCTCTAACTGGACTGTCACGGCAAGAACCATGCCGGCCGTCAGCTTTGTTCAGCTCAGAAGGAGCTGGAGACAATTCAGCCTGTGCTTCAGTCGACAGACTGGATGTCCGAGCATCTGCCCCTGCGCCCCCATTCACTGCTAATGCACTGGCAGCGGCGCTAGTACTTTTCAGCTGCCTGCCACGGTTTCTGTTATGATCAGCACAACCTACAGGCACTGCTGTTTGTGCTCCAATTGACATGCTATTGGTCCCGTGAACCTGCAGTCGCACAGTCACATTCGCAGATGAAGTTGTTGTCTGTACATTGGAAGCGTTGACATGCCTACCACCATCTCCATTCTGATCAACAGAGGCTGAAGCCAGCTTGGCCTGTGCTGTAGTGGAAAGGTGACCGTGAAAATGGGCGTGAGTTGTAGCCTGAGACACAGCTGATGTAAGGCCTGTCGCACCCAATCTCAGAGCACGTCTATTACCATCACCATTCTGATTGGCACGCGGCAAAGCCAGTCCAGCTTGGGTTTCATCTGACACAGCGCCATTTTCTGGAACAGACGAGTTGACCCGTGAGCGCACAGTCTGCTGACCCACAGCATTATTTCCTACCAATGGCGAGTTGCCCTGTGCTCGAGGAGCTTGCTGATGCCTGGCAGCTGCCAACCCTGCACTTCCACGATCACCAACTGCAGCAGCAGGCTGATGAACCAAGCTAGTACGAGCCCGTGATGCTGTGGCACCAAAATCTTGAGCTGATGAGCTGACGTTTGCACGGAAAGTCCGTTGACCCAAAGCACTATTTGCAACTGCCGAGTTGCCATGTGCTCGTGCAGTCTGCTGACTCCTGACAGCAGCCGATTCCACAGTTCCACCACCACTACCTGCAGCTGCAGGCTGATCTTCCGAGCTGGACGCAAGTGATCCCCTCCTGAGTGAAAGCAGTAACGAACGGGCACGCGCTGCATTTAACCAGACTTGGTCCAAGTTGGGCTGGCGTATGGCTATGCGCCTCTGCACACTACCAGTTGCATCCATGCCACTACCTCCCAAGTTCCCAGATGGCTGACCAGTGGAAACTGCACGACGGGCAACAGACGAAGATGTCACTGCTGCCAATGGCGACTCAGAAGATAACGGTGTCCGCAAGGAGGACTGTGGAGCCGTCGCACCCCTCCTTGATTGCACATCAGAAGCCGCCCCTGGCCCAACAGGACCCCTACGACTGGGAGATGCAAATGTCATCGTTCCATTGCGGAGTGCGTCCCACTGTTCACGATACCGGTTAACAACATCATGTTGACCTGCCCCATCGACATGCACTGTCTGATTGGAAAGTTCTGCGGTCGGTGGTGCAGGATGCCTGTTTGATGCAACTGGTGCTGGATTACGCGGATTCTGAACTGAAGTTTGTCTGCTTGGTGCTGGTCTTCTAGCAGCCACAGGCACTGCCGAACGGGCGGCGAGGGCGGGACGAGACAAGTGCACAAAATGTGCCAGAAGAGCATGGGTTTGTCGCACCCGTGAGTTTCCATTTCTCCTCATCCTGTCTATCACAGCTGAGATCGTTTGATGCCTAGTGCCTGCAGATCCGCTGGCTCTTCGTGTTGCCGACCTCCGTGTTGCTGAAGCTCGTCTGCCTGTTCGAGCTGCTGCCCGCTGTGCTACAGTCCTTGCAGCACGCTGAGCAGGCCTTCGAGTGCTTGTGGCACGCCTCCTCGTGCGCCCACGCCTTCGAGTGCCTGTGGCACGCCTCCTCGTGCGCCCTCCCCCTTGCCGTGCCCGAGAGACAGTCGCATTTTGACTGCGACTTGATGCACGCCTTGTCGCGCGGTGAATCCTCGCCACTGTGACCACTTCCTCATACTCTGATGCCTCATTGTCATCCTCTGAGTCCTCAGCCTCATCACTTCTACTTCCGTCACTGGCATCATCAGCTTCCGTAGAATCGCATTCTGAACTTCCCCATTCCCCCTCACCTGTCTCCCATCCAGAAAATGCCTCCGCGTCCGCTTCCGCTCCATTCGCTCCCCCAGCAAGAGCTGCAGCCTGCTGCAGTCGCTCATCCACTGACCTGCAGAGACTACAGATGTACTCGCCCTCTGGGACAGAATTGCCCAATCCAATGCAATAGGTATGCGCCGCCGCATCGCACCGATCACATAGGAGGAGAAGCTCATCATCAACCCCGCTGTGGCATTCAGTGCAAAGGGCACTCGAATAAGGATCAACCACCTCTCGTAACTCCTCCTCTGTTGGATTGTATTTCTGCACATCATCAACGCATGTCTCTAAGAGTTGGTCCACGGGCAACCGAATGTGGATCACCATGTTACCAGAAATAATGGAAAGAAAAAAGAGTCCACGAGCAAAAGAATGTGTATAGCCATATTACCACGAAATAATTAATGAAAAGCAAGAAGGAGAACAACTAAGCAGATCCCTTCTGTGAACTTGCATCCCTAACGGTAATCGCACACTACTTCATTCACCAGAACATAATCCCCCATCATCACGAGTCTATATAGGCTCCCCTTGCCAAATACAGTGATGATAATAGGAAGTTGTCTTTAGGGGAATCAGGGAGGACTATCCGAGATGTGCATGTCCAACATCAAATACGGGCGGATTCATTACGAAAAGTCCTAGTGTGAGAGTATGGCCTTCAGACCATATAGCCATGCAGTACTGCGCGATAAAGTGTGTATAACGAACTGACAACAAAAAAAAAAAACAGAGTCGACAGTCGCAACATTACAATGATTACATTAAAAAAAATTAGGAGTGGGACGAATGTCAGGGGAGGATGGGGGGAAGGCTGTGGAGGCTGGGGAGGAGAGGGGGAGGGAAGGTGATGGAGGGTGGAGAGGATGTGGGGAAAATGGCGGGCTGGGAGGGGTGTCTCTCTCTCTCTCTCTCTCTCTCTCTCTCTCTCTCTCTCTCTCTCTCTCTCTCTCTCTCTCTCTCTCTC